AGCCATTCAGTACCCCCAACCAGGGGAGCTGGACAAGGAGGGACTGAGGCCCCTTCCATACTACTCCGTTTTTGTTTAAAAACAGAGTTTTAAAACGAATATGATCTCTGTTCACACCAGCGTTTATGCTGCATATCAGAGGTGATCTCCGTCTACATTAAAACGACCACGGCCATTCACGTACACTGGGCATGTGCGTGCCGGTGTAAACATGAGGTAGATGGTCTCTTTATTCTGTAGTTACAGAAGATTTGGTACTACAGACGAAGAACCACACCAGATATTTTTTTGTCATGGATCAATAACGAGCTGGGACTGTTTCTGAATGTAACACGGGAGTTAAAAGCGACTGTGTCGGCGGAAAACAGACTGGGAGTCGTCTGCAGCATTTCCAAACTTCTCCGTTTTAGGTCTTTGTTTTCACCATTTTAGTCTGTACGGGAGGCGCAAACGTTTTAAAACGAAAACGAATTAATGTGGCTGGGGTCTGAGTATAGGCGCCCCTCACGTGGGAAGGGCCCACAATGAAACTAGAATGGATAGCTGTGGATCCAGGATCCTCTCAGCTATCAGCTACAGCTACCTGTACTTAGTCAGTCCATAGAGATGCCCCTGCCCCTAACAACACATACACAGTCTTGTACCACTGCACTGTAGTTTAATCTGATTGTGTGTCGCAGGTTGGTGGATGGACGTGTGTTAACCACAGTCCAGACTCTCCTGTCTGCTAGCATCACTATTTGCTCATTATTCTGTTTTAAAGAGGAAACATTAGCCCGGCAGTGACCTCTGCCCTTTAGTCAGACCCCTGGAAACTGTGCTTGCTCGTCTTAGGTTCTTCTGGAGTGTTTCCATAATCTGGTCCCCGCATTGCTGGCAGAAACATGTTCATTACTGCCATATTCATCTATAACCTCTCTTCTTTAAAAAACAACTAAAGGCACTTCCACACTCGCTTTTTCAAATTGCCTGTGGGTTTTTCATTTAAGAAAATGTGCTCTGGCCACAAAACAGATGGTAAACTTTGGCATTAAAAAAAGTGCTTCACTAAGCCTCTCAGGCAGAGAGGAACATTTTCCAAAATTAAAAACGGTTTTTCAAGCACCAACTTCCATCAGTTAAGATGAAAAAGCAATGACACTGTATAAAAGTTGGCAGCAGGTGTTGCTCTGATTTAAAGAATAGCTGGGGGAGCACACTGGTGGTGGTGTTGTTGGAGTTTTATGTAAATGCATACCAAAGTGCTGTTTGCTGATGGTGGCAGCAGGAATTAAACTGCTCGCTCAGATTATCAACACAAACCGAATAAATCCTTTCAAGTCCTCTACTAATTCCAATATTAATTTCACCCGTTGATGAATGACCTGGAGTATTTCATAAGGTTTTAGGTGCTTCTGGTTAGGATTTGTCCCAGTTCGTTTGTGTTTCATTGTGTATTCACCACCACACAGCGTGCTCTTATAACCATAACCTCAGCCTTTCCTTACTATATGCGTCTCTGACTGTGTGCCGTTCTCATACCACTGGTCATTACTCATCATTTATTCACCATTGATGTGGTATTAGTGTTCCTCTTTAGGTTTGTTTTGAGAAAGACAAATATTTAGTTCATTGTTAAGAGTGACCTGATAAACGTGTGTCAGCCTCAGTCAGTCAGTCAGATGATTCAACATTTCAGCTGCTCGGACAAGCCCACTTCTATCAAGACATTAATGTTTAGTACTCTTTTAGTACCATTTGCAGCATCTAGACAGCTTGTATTTTTCTTGCATTTCTTTCATGTAAGCCATACTTTGAATGTAGTGGATTATTGGACCTTTCCTCAAGAAGCAGGGTCTCTGTCTGTGATGGATGTAATGATTACTTCCCATAAAGATTTCAGTGTTGAGATTTACTGACAGAAGCCGTCCGTGGGGCCATTACACTTCATCCTGGTGTCCATGAAGCCGCTAATATTATAGATCCACGTCTCTGGATACTAAACAGAGTGGGCTGAAGGTATCAGTTGACTTTATCCAACTCAAAACATTTTTAGAAGAAGTTTATTTCTTTCTTTTTTTTTTATGTCACCCATAAGCTCACAGCATGGCATGTCAATAGCCATACTTGTACAGTTTAACCAGAATTTTGCAGGAGACTTCTTCTTGCAAATCTGAGAAAGATAAATTTGATGGCTTCAACTGTCATGTTGCGCATGAACTGATTCATGGCACACAGACGAGCTGCACAAACACACATATCTCCAATGTGCTGGATCAGACCCGGAAAAGCCTTGTGTGCCGATTAAAACTGAAGTGGTCACTAATGCCTGGATGCATGACTTCTGCTGTAAAATCCCTTTATGTTAGGACATGCTTTATCTGGCTGTAATCATTGGTGTGACTGGGAATGGTGTTTATGTGTGTGTTCATCCGCTCCCTGACCCTGCACTGTCAGCTGTGAGAGGATCAGCTGTAAATATGGCTTGTCCTGAGGTCACAGCAGCAGTTAGAGGGTCACAGTCATCTCGTCTTCAGTGAGCTCTGAAACAGCCACATTGGTCAGGCTGTTCACACAAGCAGCTTGATACAGACAAACTTTAAAGGCCTGGATGACGATTGCTTACAGAAATTAGATGACCTTTGTCAATCAGTTTATGCATCTGAGAGCCATTTTTTTACAGACACACTTTGCCAAACAGACTGCCTCTACCAAAACTATGTTTATGCAGGTCCAGCATATGCCTGGACAACAAAACACACACGGCGTGGTGGTTTGACACACTGACACACATATCACAGAGGAGGCCTGTAATGCCACTCTGCTCCAAGCTCAGTCAGCATTCATTCCTCTGTGTACTGTAGCACCCCTTAACCTGCACCAGCTGTATACACACACACACAGATACATTCACTTCCTGCACCTCAGGGGAGTTTTTGGCCATTGCGCTAGCTCTCCTGGCCAGTTGGCCCTCTCTGTTAAGTACGGTGTTCTCCCATCAGCACATTCCTCTTTCTCTAGACAGACACAGGGAGACGATTTTTGGCAGTGCACTCACAGGGTGGGGTAACGCTCATATCCTTTCCTCTGACCTCAGATTACACACACACGCACACAGTCACTGTACTGTTATGCTCATGCTCACACTCAAAACACCACATTCTTGCTCTCAAAACATACAGCTTTTCCTCTGTTTTCAAGCAGCTGTCACAGTCGCTCTGTCAACCCCTCAGTATCTCTCTGCCCACCGCCAGCCACAGAGCCACTGTGGCCGTGCCAGTCCACGCCTGTTGTCACGCCCCACACCAATACAGACTCCCCTCTGTCTGTGTTAATGACTGCCCTCCCTCCCATCTTTCCAACCCTCCCTTCCTCTCCCTCCGGGCACCACTCGAGCACCAGCACTAGGCTCGACAGAACCCTGTCTCCAACAACAATGACGCTCCAGTCCACTGCAATCAATTTGCTGCTGATTGCCGTGCTTGCATGTCTGTCTGTAAAGTGTTACCCCTTCACATAAACAAGTCTGTGGCATGTGTGAGAGAAGGAGAAACAAAAAAAAGGGACTGTAATTTGCTGCTGTGTTTTTCGTTTCAAGTAGATTTCAGGCTAGTTTGTGTACCCAGGCGTGAAGTCGGAGCTCAGTGCTGGCCACCCCATTTGAGCGTCTTTACGCAGATAATGACAAAGCACTCAGCGCTCAATCACACGCTCCCTCTCACTGAAACGGTCTCTGACTTACTCCCTCCTGCTCCTGTTCCGCTGTTTCTCATGATTTCACAGTGTTGTGAAACCTCAAGGGTTTTCTGCATGGGAAGGATCAGAAATATGAGTCCCAACCCATTCTGGACAATCTACATACTCGGCCCTAAGGGGAACTTACTTTCTGATTCTGTTGTTTTTCCAGGCGAACTCCTCACACACCATTAGATAGTGGACTAGAGTGTGAGAAAGCTTTAAGACACAACACACAGAATCTGAGTCACACATGGGACAACCCCACCCAGTGCCGGCTTATCCAGCCCCCCCCCCGCATTCCCCCTTATTCTCTCCTCATTTTCTTCATCCACACACCAGGCTGTTGTTCCCTCTTGCTCCATCCAGTAACTCTCACCATGTGTTTATCACCCCCTCCTCTTTAATCTTCTCCTTTTTCTCCTTGTATCAGTACGTGACTTGTTGTCACCGGTTAAAGTGTGGAGGAGGTGTCGGGATTGAGGCTAAGCAGTCCTTTGGCAACATTGCACTTGACATAGTATACGGCGCTATCACTGGACACAGAGGAAGGGGAATAACTGAGAGAGTGTTTGCATTAGTGGGATAGTTTGTTTGTGTGTGTATGTATGTTAGTGAACTGGATGGGGTGTGTCTCACATGCATGTTTGCTGCACAAACAGATTGTGTGTTTTGGGGTCCCAGTTAAGTAGACTTTGTCTCGCCGTTGTTGCTCTCCAACAAACTCTGACTGTGGGAGTCCTGCCAGTCCAAGGCCGAATGAGGAAGGGAAGGGGTGAGGCTGGGTGTACAGTGGGGAGAGGGGGGTAAATCCTTGAGTCTCATGTGAAACTGGCTCACATGGCTTTCTCTTTTCTCTGCTTACTATCCCAACTGTTCCTGATAGCCGTCAGTTTCGCCATTGTTCTCTGACCGGGCACAGTTATCTGCTAGTTGTCGTAATCATATTTGGGTTTCATAGCCCAGAGGAGGTTTTTGTGCACTCATCATGTTTGTTCACCGGGGCTAATATAAGGCCGCACAATGGTGTAGTTATCTCCTTGCCTTGTTGTGAATGGACTGAGCCGTCAACATGTGGAGTTCAGTAGATTTGGTTTAAAGAGGATTATTATTATGACTCAACCCGTGCAAATGTATTAGCTAAAGCAGAGGGCTGTGTGTTTGTGTGTCGGAGGAGTGCTGTGTGTACTTCATCTGGTTCATGTGTGTGTGTCTGTGTGCGCAGTTGCCTGGTGTTTGTGTGGTAATTATGACTAACGGTGTGGTGTCGCTGTTCTCGCTCCTAGGTGACATCACGCAGAAGGGCTATGAGAAGAAGAAAGCCAAGCTGCTGGCCTCCTACATCTCCCATTTGCCAAGTAAGAAACCCTCCCTGATTTACCTCATTTCACTTCCAAGCCTTGCTTCTCTCTTTCCTGTATAATTTCCACCTCATCTGTCAGCATTCTTGGTAATGTGGAAACTTAAAGTAATTACATCAGAACAGCTCATCAAGTCATTACTTCAGTACGCTGGAAGTTGGATCTCAGCTGATCATCAACAACTATAAAAAAACAACAACAATTTGAGTGTGTTGTGTGTTGTGTTTTTCTCATCTTGATTTAAAAAAAAAGAAAAAAAAAAAAAGAAAAAGTAACTTCACTGAATGTCCACTGTGACTGTGATTCTCTTTGTCCAAGTTGTCCAAGAGAATTCCTGGCTTTCTGTGGCACTCTAGTGGCCGAAATAGGAACTGACGTATGATAACCACACATACAGGCACATCTCTTCTAATAACTGCACCACTGTAGAAAATCCCAAGAATAACAAAAACCACTGAATGCGTCAGAGTGTGTGCTGCCGATTTTGAAACTTTGAACACAATTTGCTTAAACCAGTTTCGGTTTACAAGAAGCCACAGAAGTAGGGAAGTACCAGAGTTTCACTGTACTACGACGAGCCAGTCACCTCTGTCCTCGTTGGTAAGCGGATCTGTTGTGTTTTTTTCTCAGCCACCTCACTCACATGAGGGTGTGGTCTTTCCTCAGGACAATTGCATTACATTAGCACTGGCATGAAAATATCCTTCTTGATGAGTCAATGTGAGCTAATTTAAAAAGTAGAATACTGAACGTCTTTTCCTGCTAGTTTAACCTTGGCCTTGTTTTTGACTTGAGCACACAGGGAATTGAAAAGGACTTTAAAAATCTAAATCTCATATGGATCACTTGCATATTTGAAACTTGAGTTACATTCCCATGGTTGTTAGTAGGGCAGGGCAATATGGCCAAAAATGTTATTACGATAAAAACGTTTCGTATCATTTGATATCGATAATTATCACGATATATGTCAAATCATTATTTATTTCGAATTTATAGGCAGATTTTTGCTTCTGAGTGAAAATTGAAGAAACCAGATGGTTAATTATGTGGTTAAACTTTTCTTTATGGTCAGAATGTGACAAACACTTGCCAAACAGTGGATCACTTCACAAGTCTGAGATATCTTTTTCAACTAAATAAATATTTTAATAGAAAAATTAAGTGCTAATTGGTTCTTGATTCAGATGAATTAAATCAAATATTTATTGACGATATATTGAACATTTATTATATTGTTATTGAGGAAAATTACATTGCGATAATTATCATTATTGTTTTATTGCCCAGCCCTAGTTGTTGTGAGTTCTGCTTTTTGTCATGTCATAGGCAGCTTGCCCTGGATGTATAAGCAGGTATTTGGAAGCTTTGAAACGCTAAAGGTTACTTCCTGCTCCTGCACCTGTCCCTTCGGGCCTCCTCATTTCTGTGAACCATCATATCCACTGAGACTCTGTTGCCCAGGCCCACTGGGAGGAGAGGACAGTTGTCTAAAAATACATTTGCTTGAATCTAGCCTAGTTTCATGTACTGCATTAACAGTATAAAGATACATCAGTCAAGTACTTGTCCTTATTTCACTTCATTCTCAAACACTCTCTAGTGAGGTTAAATTTAGAGAGCTTCTCGATGTATCATGTAATATTTATGCCTACATGCAGTTGTAATGGCATTATGTAAAGCAAAAGTGTGCAGCTTTCCAAAAGCTCGTGTTTGTTTGTTGTTCAGTAATGTTGCACTTATTGTCTTTGCACACACCTGCTTCTGTTCTGTAGATGTGGATCTTTCTCTGCCAGATGTACAGCTTTCTCCTGGCCACAGTGTCGACCCCAGCCCGAGTCCTGAGGCCCCGGGCCCCTCCACGTCTTCAGCCTCCAGACACCACCGCACACACCGCAGTGGAGGGGCCAGGGATGATCGCTACAGATCAGGTACACAGGATGCATACAGCGTACATAAAAAACACACACTTTTCACAAAGCGATTTTCTCTTTCTTTCTGTGTACCCCGCTCATTTTGTCTCACCATGTTTATTCTGTCTGTTTATGTAGATATCCACACAGAGGCTGTGCAGGCAGCACTGGCCAAACACAAAGAAGAGAAGATGGCACTGCCCATGCCAACCAAGAGACGCTCAGCCTTTGTCCAGTCGCCCATAGATACCTGCACACCTCCAGGTAAACTAAATTTGTCACACTCAGTGGGGTAGCTGGTCAGTGTAAGGAATATGCTTTTCATTTACAGTATAAACCTTCAGTCCCTCTGGATAAAGTGTCCACATGACTTAAGTGTTTATGGAGCAAGAAAGATACTGTGTCCCTGCCAACTGCAGGGGTGCTGCTCTGTAGCTGACAAAATTCCAAATGTGTCGTTTGGGGCTAAACAGTGTAAAAATATCTAAATAATCAGGATTTTCTCCTTCCATCAGACACATCTTCTGCATCAGAGGATGAGGGCTCACTGCGCAGAAAGGCAGCTCTCAGTGCAGTGCTGGCCCAGAGCCTGCAGAGCCCTGATTACTGGATCAACCGTTCCGTCCAGAGCTCCTCCACGTCCTCATCTGCTTCCTCAACCCTCTCCCATGGAGAGCCCAAGACCCAGCCACAGTCTCAGCCACAGCCCTCACCTGCTGCTTCCTTGTTGGCCGATGTCCTGGCTCACACACGCATAGGTAAACTTCACTGATAAATAGCTCCAGTTATAATAAAGGATACACAACAGTGATGGTTGGCTGTTGCTATAAGTTATGATGCTCACTCTCTCTTCTCCTCTAGAAAACAGTGTCCCCCCAGATGTGACATCCTCCACTCCTCAGGAGAGAGGGTCAAGGGTGGACCTGCCTCCGGCGGTCAGGGGCATGAGCCGTGGACAGAGCCGCTCCAGCATGCTGGATACCGCCGACGGTACAATCACACGTACACAAATGTCTGTTGGTGGTATATATGCGTGTACCAGGGTGTACATTTCTGCTGTATGGGGAGCAAAATCACAGTAATTTTTTATTCCTGAAATTTGTTTAGTTCAGATTGGGAGATAAATCCATTTGCATGTCCTAATCATTGCACCATGGTGAAGTTTTCTGTCTTGCATTGATCGAATGTGGTGACCAAGCTGATTGGAGTGCACTCAAGTCCATAAACAATCTGCTCGTGTTCATCCAGAATTATCTGACCATTATCCTCATTTCACTGTGTGGTGAATGCTGCTAACAACAGATATTTTGTGTTCTTTCTTTTGGGTCCATTAATCCTGTCCCTGTCTTGCCTTTGATTTAAAAAAAGGAAAAAGAAAAGGTAATATAAATCGAAACTCGGGAAGGGGAGGGATGCTGAAGAGGCCCAGATCAGCTTGCTTTCCAGCCTGGTGTCTCTCTCTCTGTCTTTATGTCTGTCTTGTGTCATAGGTGTAGACGTAGAGAGCGTCCTATATTTGTTTCCCTTAAGATCGTCCAATCTGTGTCTCCTCAAGTACCAGTTTCCCTTTTGAATCCTTCCTGCTGCTGACTCTGATCCTGACTGTGTGCTAGTGCGTAGGGTTCTGCCTGTGTGCGTGTGTGCGTGTGTGTGTGTGTGTGATATAAAGTAGAGATCTGTGTTAGAATAGTTTTGCATGTGTGGGTGTGTGCACGTGTTTCTTTGGTTGTTTCCATATGTTTGTGACGCTGGCTGTTCTTGGTGTTTGTCCAGGCGTGCCTGTCAACAGCAGGGTGTCAACTAAGATCCAGCAGCTGTTGAACACACTCAAACGGCCAAAGAGACCACCGCTCAGCGAATTCTTCGTTGATGACTCTGAGGAAATTGTAGAAGGTGAGACATTGTGCATATGTGTTCATGTTTTGTTTTTCTTTTTGTTAGAAAAAAATGGGGGGAAAGTGAAATAATCATTAGGTATTAGCTTATACACAGGAGCACATTTATCATACATGAATCTTACCCATCCCACAGTTAATCAAAGCCGGAGAAAAAAAATGCCAAAATTATGTATCTACAATTTTGCACTAGCCAGAGAGAACTATTATTTTAAAAATAAACCACACCGGTCAGTAATGACAGTAGCAAGGAAATCTTGGCAGTTGAATGGTTGATGACACCCTTACTAATTGTCCACACAAGTTTCTTTGGCCACTCAGTTCTGTTGGATACTATAATAATTTTTGTGACATATCAGTTGTGTTGCCCCTAATCCTGTATCATATAATGACCTCTGTTATTGTCCAGTGCCCCAGCCGGACCCCAACACCCCAAAGCCAGAGGGACGTCAAATCATCCCAGTGAAGGGGGAGCCCCTCGGAGTTGTCAGTAACTGGCCCCCTGCCCTGCAGGCTGCCCTGGCCCGATGGGGGGCCACCCAGGCCAAGAGCCCTGCCCTCACTGCGCTGGATATTACCGGCAAACCCCTCTACACGCTCACTTATGGTGAGCAACACCCTCCATTCCTAGAAATGTTAATGTAGACGGTAAACAGCAAAAGTTTTTGTTCCACTTGTTAGTTTAGGAAGTCCATGTTATTGTGACCACCAAATGTAAGTGTGAGCTATTTCTTGCATATGATATGAGTTAAAGTGACTAAATATTTGTTGGCTTGAGCAGAATAACACCCACAGTACATTTCCTCTGGTGTTGAGCTACAGTGGGTTGTGGAGTTCAACGGTGCTGCATCAGTTATACAACATTAATACATGGTAAAAAAACAACAAACAGGACATTTTATAATCTTTTTTTTTTTCTTCTCCACAGGTAAACTATGGAGTCGCAGTCTGAAACTGGCCTATACACTTCTGAATAAACTGGGCACCAAGACAGAACCGGTCCTACAACCTGGAGATCGGGTAAGAGTCTGTTAGTCACCACTCAGTATGTAAAGTATAAAGGAACATGGAAAAGGAAAATAAGTTTTTCTGTTTCTTAGGTTGCGCTGGTGTATCCAAACAGCGACCCTGGCATGTTCTGGGTGGCTTTCTATGGCTGCCTGTTAGCCGAGGTCATCCCTGTGCCCATTGAGGTGCCACTGTCAAGACAGGTAACGACGTCAGTGTTGTCAAGTGAATTCCTCTGTGGTGATCTCTGAATAATACAAAATCAGATACAATTCTTTGTGGTCAAATAAAAACCCAGGGATTCAGAACGACTTCAGTCAGGTCTGAAATTTATGCCTAGAATTTATACCAAAAGCACGTAGTGTCGCTCCCCACAATGGCTGGTACATTTTATGACAATATCTGTCTTATATATAATATCTGAGTTATCTTGAATATCGTGGCACTTAATAAATGGTAAACTATGTCAATTTTAACTGTGTAGCATACTGGCCTCTCCTTGTTGTGTCATAGGTCTCTTGACCCTTGTCTCTCTCCATAGGATGCAGGCAGCCAGCAGATCGGCTTTCTATTGGGCAGCTGTGGTGTCAGTCTGGCACTCACCAGTGAGGTTTGTCTCAAGGGGCTGCCCAAGACACCAAACGGAGAGATCATCCAGTTCAAAGGTCAGTCAGACCAATGCAGTCATGTCTGGCCCAGTCTCTTTGGGAGACATTAGATAGACTCATTAAATGGAATATGATGTTCACTAGCCAATTTAGGGCCTCAGCATATGAGCAGGTGGCTCCCTGGTCACTCTGCTTGTAATGTATTGGCTGTTTACCTTTTGACCTTAAAACCAAGAGGTTGGCGAGTGAACATTGTCAATTTGGTGCGGCTCCAAATTAGTATGCCTAAACACACTTTTTATTTGCTTTATGTCAGCTAAAATGTTTCTCTGTGTCCCTTTGTGATGTTGTAATTATGTTTACTAGGATGGCCAAGGATGAAATGGGTAGTGACAGACACTAAGTACCTGACCAAACCATCCAAAGACTGGCAGCCTCACATCCCCACTGCCAACACAGACACCGCCTATATAGAGGTACATAGAATAACACTTTTAGCATTCCTATTTTGGTTATCAAGCACAGTTGAATAGATTTTACTGGTCATAAATAAATTATAGAACGATGTAGCTTCTATTTATTAATCCTCTGAAATTCTCAAGTAGGTTTCATTTTACTTTTCCAAATTCTTGAGTCACAGGATGGCTGAGCCTTTGCCATTACTGCCCCAAAACTGAAACGTCTTGCATGGGAAACTTGGTAAAGCGAAATTAAATGTTAGCTTCTAAGTGACTTTGGAAAACATACAATAACTTACTAACTTAAACATTTACCTGATAAAAAAGAGAAGATGTGAAAAAATAAATAGACTAATTAAATATATATTTTTTCAATTAATTACATTTATTTAACACTCCATAGTATGACTTCTTGTATTTATGGCTTTTTTATGCCATGTAAAGAAAATACTTTTAAAATTGAAACGTGAAATGTATTTATTTCCAGGTAGCTTGTGCTCCCATTTAACTTTGTCCTTGTTGATGTGTTTGTGTCTCTTCCACCAAAGTACAAAGCGAGTAAGGAGGGGACAGTGATGGGTGTTGCTGTATCCAAGATCTCCATGCTGACCCACTGTCAAGCCCTGTCGCAGGCCTGTAACTACTGTGAAGGTCAGAGCTCAGTGTCTTATGTAACTTATACCTCTCCCGCTTTTCTTACGCTGACTCTCTTTGTGTGTATGGGTGACATACTTAAGCAATATAAATTAAGGATTAAAGGTTCAACAGTGCTCCGCTCTTGAGCTCTTCAGCAGCACGTTTCATGGGCAACCTGCCCCATCATTTATTTTCACTCTCTCCCTTCTCAAAGAGAGACACCTCAGAGAAGATAAGCTGAGATTAGGGAGAATATACACTCTAATGGACCACAAAATTAAATATTTGAAGGCACCTAAGTTAAGCATCTTTTACAGCTGGTGATTGCACATCATGTGTTTTTGTGTTTTTATGTCACAGGGGAGACACTGGTCAATGTGTTGGACTGCAAGAAGGATATGGGCCTGTGGCATGGCGTCCTAACGGTGAGATTGAATGCAACAATTTGTATATCCAGACCAGTTGAAATGTTTTAACTTTGATATGTAGCACAATATGACATTGACAATATGTGTATGATTTTTCCAGAGTGTCATGAACAGAATCCACACCATCACAGTGCCATATGCTGTCATGAAAGCATGTCCCATGTCCTGGGTGCAGAGGGTCCACATTCACAAAGGTTCAGCCAATGTTCAATCTTTCCATATGTGTATAGTTTCATTATTTTATTCTCTCTCTCTCTCTCTCTCTCTCTGTTAAGATAAACATATATATCTTACAGATTACATGAAGAAAACAAAAAAGGGTGTTGTTAAAATATGTTATTTCAAATGATAAAAGTAGACAAGTCACCAAGTTGAATTTGGAAACTTGGAAACAAAAGTCAAGGAGAAACAGTATAGCACTCACAAACTGTAAATACAGTATGTAAGTGCAGCATGTATAACATTATTCCCCTTGCCCTCTGATAGCACGTGTGGCCTTGGTGAAGTGCCGTGACCTCCACTGGGCCATGATGGCCCATAAGGAGCAGAGGGACATCAACCTGTCCTCCATACGCATGCTTATTGTGGCTGATGGAGCAAACCCATGTAAGTGACTTTGTACAGATATTTTAACATGTTGGATTGTGAATTTTGACCCTGTTTTGCCAATGTTTTTTATCCGTTGTTTGTTTTCAGGGTCTGTGTCATCGTGTGATGCCTTCCTGAATGTGTTTCAGTCTCATGGTCTGAAGCCTGAGGTGATCTGTCCATGCGCCACCTCTCCTGAGGCCCTGACTGTGGCCATACGAAGGTATGCTCTGGAAAGAGACACTCTGATACTCAGGAGTTCAAAATTGCTGCCATTTTGCTTGACAAGAGTCATTTTACAATACTCACCATTAAGTAACTCACATTTATTGTGTTAGTTTGTTGACATGTTAAAAAATCATTATGTAACTGACCACCTGACTTGTCTAAGATGTGGCAAGACGACCAAATAAGAGGAACAATGGCAAATAAACAAAGCATGTGATTTTAAAACCAACTGCATGACTTTTGTGCTTATTCATCTAGCCACTTAAAAAATCACATTTCATCCCAACATCATATTTTTCTGAGTTCAAGTTAAAAAATGATGTCTTGCTTAGCTCAGCTGGTACAAGGCTGGCTCAATTCCAGTCCGTGAATCATTGCTTCACGTCATCCCCCCTCTCAAATCATGTGATTTTTACGTTACTTCATCTGTCCACTGACTTTGAAAGCGAGACTTGTTTTGTGTATCAGCTAGGGCTGCACGATTAATCTAATCGCAATCGCAATGTCGTCATGCGCGATTACATAACCGCAAAAGTGTGGAAGGACGACGCTGAAGTTTGCTTCCGATTCGGCAGTTAAGGGGAAATTAAGTGAAAGTTAACTTACGTTGCTGAGCGACCGAATCTCCGCTTTTTGCACACCTTACTGCTGTGAAAGCTGTTATGCATTTTAGGCAAAGCATTAACTTAATTTCTCCTTAACTTTCCCCTTAACTGCCGAATCGGAAGCTAACTTCAGCGTCGTCAGAAAAGGTGTGTGTGACGCTCTCTTCTCTGCGCCCACACCGGGCTCTGGCATGTGTCTAAAAACAGATAAGCCTACTTACAATGAGAAAAATGTTTTATGAGCAGTGTGCCAGTAATTTTAAGACAACAACCTACCATAACCCCACATCCCGCCCCGCCGCTAATCGTTTACAACATAGTCGGGCTCGTCAACAGAGCAACGACAGAAATGCCGGTTCTCCGGTCGCTCTGTGTCAGAGACAGAGAGACGTCATCACTAACGTTAGCTGTATCGGTGCCTTTTGTTTTCAACATGTTCAACTTTTCACAGAGCCGACGTGCTTGTCAGTCACTTTTAATCAACCGACCAATCACAGCCTGGATGGGGCGGGACATTAAAAAAAAATTTGACGTGCTACAGAAAACTTTCAAATGTTGAACAATATGATTATTGACAAGTTAGTACTTATCATTAACAAATGAGAGACCAATATAGAGCTTTTGATTGCACAAGAATTTAATTTTAAAAAAACAACCCACAGAAATTTTGTTATATGAAATTATAATGAATGCTGTACATTATAGTTATACTAACAGTAAACTATTAACTAAACCTTATACTCTTTATTTAATACACTCATGTACAGTTCCTACTTCAGGTTGTGGATAGAGATTGCAGTAGACAGATGGACATTGAGTGCCAGTGTGCCAATATGTGTTCCTTGCCTAGCCGCCTCCTCTGTAGAGCAACAAGCTCCGCTTGTTCTGTTTTACATCTGTTTTACTAGTTGTTGTTATAAATATTTTTTATTGTTGAACTTTATTCAAGTTGAGAAATACACATTTCAAAATGTCAGTATTTCGCTCATTCCTTGATAATTAAGTAAGCAGACTCATAGTACCATTTGTTCCATTGTAATCAAATCGCAATATTGTCCACAATAATCGCAATATGATCTTTTCTCCAAATTGTGCAGCCCTAGTATCAGCAGATCTCAACATTGTGTTACCTTATTTTTCTGCCTTCCTGTGTGACCCGTTGACTTCGCTTTTTGCCCTCTCTGAAGGCCTGGTGCACGAGGAGCTCCACTACCAGCCAGGGCCATCCTGTCCATGGGTGGGCTGAGCCACGGGGTGATCAGGGTGAACACAGAGGACAAGAACTCTGCTCTCACTGTTCAGGATGTGGGCCACATCATGCCTGGAGGTTAGCCGCTGCACTTGGCTTTAATTGGCACTATTCAGGTACGTAAACATACATAATGTTAATGTGATCCGTTTTGTGTTTCAGCTCTGATGTGCATTGTGAAACCAGACGGGCCCCCTCAGCTGTGCAAGACAGATGAAATAGGAGAGATTGTCATCAACTCTCGGGCTGGAGGCACCATGTACTACGGCCTGCCTGGTGTCACCAAGAACACATTTGAGGTTTGTCAAAGTTTAAAACCCATGTTTAGGAACTGCCTAGGACTCATTCCAGTCTGTTCTTGATACTGTAGAACTCATAAAAATGTGCTATGAGACAAGAGATGTAAATCACAATTCTACCAAAAAATCATGTTAAAACCTGAGAATGAACTTCCTGGTCCCCTGCTTCTTGTCGAGTGTGTGCCTGTGGATCACTTCCAGTCCCCCCTTGACCCTGCATAGGATAAGCTAGTTTAGAAAATGGATGGATGGGAAAGAAGCACATATTTAAATAATCACTAGATGAAGCCACAGTGTATTTATTCCATCATTCACTGAGAACAAACTTCATAAGAAGTTGATAAGAGTGTTTCTGTCCAAGACATTTTATTTCCTAAACTAAAATTTTAACTGCAGTAACACAATTTGTAAGCCACTTACAAACATTTCTAAGACCTTTGAAAATAATGCCAGGGTGAGACATACTGTGCTGTGTGTTTGAGTTCAACGTGTGATTTCTCTGCTAATCTGTAGGTGATCCCTGTTAACCAAGCTGGAGCACCCATAGGCGAAATTCCCTTCAGTCGGACTGGTCTGCTTGGATTTGTAGGACCGGTGAGGCACACGCATACAGACAAATAAAAAGAGTCAGCTTTCTGAAATTTGACTGGAGAAATAAGGGCAGTGAGACTTCTGTGTTCCTTGCTGAGTCAACCTTCCTGCTCCACAGGGCAGTCTGGTGTTTGTTGTGGGGAAGATTGAGGGGCTGCTGATGGTGAGCGGGCGACGCCACAACGCAGACGATCTGGTGGCCACCGCGCTAGCAGTGGAGCCTGTCAAAACAGTTTACAGGGGGAGGTGAGACACTTGACTGCTCCCTGTGAGCCAGTGTGCTTCATTCACTATTCTTTTTGTGTGTACAATTTCACCCCATTAGAGGCTGCTTGGATGCACACAAACACCAGTAGACCATTTCTGTAATACATGTTCATGTCATTCATGCAGGATTGCTGTGTTCTCCGTGACGGTGTTTTATGACGAGAGGATTGTGATTGTGGCAGAGCAGAGACCTGACGCCAGTGAGGAGGACAGCTTCCAGTGGATGAGCCGAGTACTGCAGGTAAATCACATACATCTTGTCACCTGTGGTGAATAGTGAGTAAATATTTTCTTTTTTGTTTATTTAGGTGTACTAACTAACTCTTGTTGTGTCACACATTCTCTCTTTTTATGCCTTTAGTTCTGTTTGAAAGAGCTATGTGCCTTTCAAAATCATGATGGACTTGTTTGTACTGAGGTTCTCAAACCTTGAAACAACAAGGACTTTTTTATAGTATACTGTGTTAATTTTGCATCCATTAAACTATATCAAGTAATGTGTGTTTTCTGCACAGGCCATCGACAGTATCCACCAGGTCGGCTTGTACTGCCTCGCGCTCGTCCCAGCCAACACCCTCCCAAAGACTCCCCTTGGAGGTATCCACATCTGTGAAACCAAGCAGAACTTTCTGGAGGGAAATCTGCACCCCTGTAATATTCTCATGTGCCCGCACACCTGTGTTACCAACATGCCGAAGCCACGGCAGAAACAGCCAGGTAGACTGCCTCAGACCGTATCTACCGATGCTTATTATATAACATCACCGCAAAGAAGGAAATATCAGAAGTATTACATGTTTATTATGTTTGTTTTGTTGGCATCACGTCTGATTAATTCAGCGTTGAAGGTGTGTCACTGTATAGCTGACTCTGATTGTCTTTGATCTGTTCAGTGGATGTTGGTCCTGCTTCTATGCTGGTCGGGAACTTGGTGGCGGGGAAACGGATCGCCCAGGCTATAGGCAGAGAGCTGGGTGTGGTGGAGGACCAGGATCTGATCCGAAAGGTACTGTCAAAAAGACCATGAACCACACTTTGACCATGCTTGACCCTCGATTATAGTACTGTGAACTGTTATATCTAAAGCAATCTGTAACTGTGACTCTAACATTAAGACCTGGACAGTGAGCCAAAATAAACTTCATGCGGTTGCTATT